GACTATTTAGGTAATGTCACAAGAGTGTTTTATTGAGTATAATAATACTAATTACCTATGAATACATAAATTTGACAGAAAAGGTACAAACGCTTGTTTTTAAGATGTTTTATCAAGTAAATCACTGCTTTATTATTATGAATGCATAAAATTGTCCCAAAAAAGGCACAAACCCTTCAGTAGTTATTGAGATAACAGCTTACAAGCAAAACTTTACCATGAATTTCTAAGTTGAAAAAGGGGAGAAAAATCAGCCTAAATGCAAGATAGAATTATGGATCTTTGTCAGTGACCTACAATTATGACCCTAAATGCATATGTGAAGTTTTGAATAAATATCTTTAATAGTTATTGAGATATGTAAAACTTGCATGTAAACATTAACCAAGAGACTAAGTAGAAAAGGGGATATGAATCAGCCTTAATGCAAGATAGAGTTATGGAACTTGGTCAGTGACATACAATTATGACCCTCCGATTATGACCCTAAGTGCATGTTTAAAGGTTCAAGTAAATATCTTTGAAGACCTTTAACCAAAATTTCTAAGTTTCAAAGGGGCAAATAATTCTGCAAATATTGCAGGCAGAGTTATGCAATTTTGCAAACTGATGTACATTGTTACTATAAAAAAAGTATTTTAAATTTCAATTGAATATCTCAAGCAATAATTGAGATATTTGACTTCACAAAAAAACTTTAACCAAAATTTCTAAGTTCCAAAGGGGCATAATTCTGTCAATATTGTAGACAGAGTTATCCAACTTGTCAATCTGATGTACCTTGTTACTATAAATAAGTATTGTAAGTTTCAATTGAATATCTCAAGCAATAATTGAGATATTTGACTTTACAAAAAACTTTAACCAAAATTTCTAAGTTAAAAGGGGGCATAATTCTGTCAATATTGTAGGCAGAGTTATCCAACTTGTCAATCTGATGTACCTTGTTACTATAAATAAGTATTGTAAGTTTCAATTGAATATCTCAAGCAATAATTGAGATATTTGACTTTACAAAAAACTTTAACCAAAATTTTTAAGTTAAAAAGGGGCATAATTCTGTCAATATTGTAGGCAGAGTTATCCAACTTGTCAATCTGATGTACCTTGTTACTATAAATAAGTATTGTAAGTTTCAATTGAATATCTCAAGCAATAATTGAGATATTTGACTTTACAAAAAACTTTAACCAAAATTTCTAAGTTAAAAAGGGGCATAATTCTGTCAATATTGTAGGCAGAGTTATCCAACTTGTCAATCTGATGTACCTTGTTACTATAAATAAGTATTGTAAGTTTCAATTGAATATCTCAAGTAATAATTGAGATATTATTAACTGACTTTACAAAAAACTTTAACCAACGCAGACGCCGACGCGGACGCTGACGCCGACGCCGGGGTGACTACAATAGCTCTCATATTCTTCGAATAGTCGAGCTAAAAAGTATAAAAACAGTGCAGAAAATTCATTTCAACAAAATAATTACAGTGATTTTACTGATAAATATATATTACTACATATATATAATCATAATTATTGTAAAGAATCTAGAACAAAATGTATAGATATCTTATATGTATGATGTCAAAAATAATTAAATAACAATATAATTACAATAGCTTACATTCTAACACGACCTGCATTTTTCCCTATAGAAAATTGAACAACCGAAGGTGTGTGTTATTATGCAATAAAATCACTGATGTTCCATATTTAGACATGTGACGTAACCATAAGATGTGAAATAACCATTAAAAATGTGACGCGCTGAAAGTAAGTATGTGAAACAAATCAGACGCAACATAGCTTGATATCAGGTACAGAAGCATTTATTTGTTGATCTCATGTTTGAATCAAAATAATATATCCAAATCAATGATTTTATCACTTAATAAAATCACTGTTTGTTGTTCGGTTTCCTCAAATCTGAGTTCCGGTGATTTTATTTAGCGATAAAATCACGCTCAATAAAATCACTGTTTGGAATATATTATTTCTTACATTTTGTTAATTGTCATGCTAAGAAAGGTAATACAAGTGATCTTCGCTACACATCTTACAATGTCTATATTTCTTCTTTGTCAAACACATCCATGGTGTCATGAATACAACTATAGAAAATAAATTGACAGTAAACAGAATGTTAATGAAATCAAGTTTTTTTATATATATAATCAAGGAATATGACAATGTAAAATCTGTAATTTAAATCCAGTATTAACCCTTTCGCTGCCAGAGGGTTATTGTTTTATTGTTCACCTATTTGCCAGAGGATTTTCTAAGAAATTACTATGTTATTAATTAATAATTATTATTATTTGTTAGTAGTATTATAATAATTATATATCTTTCCAAATATATTAGTATAATACTAATAATTGTTCATGGTATAATTTTCTTTATACTTATTATTATTTTTATTATTATTATTATTAATTTATTATCATTACTATTATTATTATAGAAACGGCTAAAGCCGTCCATATGGCAAATACGCCGTAAATAACTGGGACGGCTTAAGCCGTCCCTATTGCAGTGAAAGGGTTAAGTAAATAATTTAAACATGATGTTTTATGTAAAGTTTTTTTTTATTGCTTGACTTGTACTCAATTTACCATATAGTCATTAACAAATGGTTTGAAATAATTTGGCACCACTCTTTTCAACATTATGACATAAAAATTGTTTTGATCAATATGCCAAGTAAATTTCACTTAGTAATGACAGTCAATCACAATATGAGGAAACTGTTAGTCATATAATAACAAAATTTATTTCACAAAAAAAAAACTGTACATATCTAATCAATTGATATCTCACAGAAAACAATGTATATATCTAATCAATTGATATCTCACAGAAAACAATGTATATATCTAATCAAGTGATATCTCACAGAAAACAATGTATATATCTAATCAATTGATATGTCACAGAAAACAATGAATATATCTAATCAATTGATATGTCACAGTAAACAATGTATATATCTAATCAATTGATATGTCACAGAAAACAATGTACATATCTAATTTAGTGATATGTCAAAGTAAACAATGTATATATCTAATCAAGTGATATGTCACAGAAAACAATTTATGTATCTAATCAAGTGATAAATCACAAAAAGCAATGTATATATCTAATCAAGTGCTATGTCAAAGTAAACAATATACATATCTAATCAAGTGCTATGTCGAAGTAAACAATGTATATATCTAATCAAGTGCTATGTCAAAGTAAACAATGTACATATCTAATTTAGTGATATGTCAAAGTAAACAATGTATATATCTAATCAAGTGATATGTCACAGAAAACAATTTATGTATCTAATCAAGTGATAAATCACAAAAAGCAATGTATATATCTAATCAAGTGATGTGTCACAATAAACAATGTATATATCTAATCAAGTGCTATGTCAAAGTAAACAATGAACATATCTAATTTAGTGATATGTCAAAGTAAACAATGTATATATCTAATCAAGTGCTATGTCAAAGTAAACAATATACATATCTAATTTAGTGATATGTCAAAGTAAACAATGTATATATCTAATCAAGTGATAAATCACAAAAAACAATGTAAATATCTAATCAAGTGCTATGTCAAAGTAAACAATGTACATATCTAATCAAGTGATATGTCAAAGTAAACAATGTATATATCTAATCAAGTGATAAATCACAAAAAACAATGTAAATATCTAATCAAGTGATAAATTACAAAAAACAATGTATATATCTAATCAAGTGATGTGTCACAATAAACAATGTATATATCTAATCAAGTGCTATGTCACAGAAATCAATGAATATATCTAACTTAGCGATAAATTACAAAAAAAACAATGTATATATTTAATCAAGTGATATATCTCAGTAAACAATATAAAGGCTGGTTGAAAATAAATGTAAAAATATATCACAGGCTTGATGGGGAATAGAAAGTATCTAAGAATAATCTCATCAGTATACATGGTATATATTTTTATCTCTTATATAAAAAAAGACAGGGCATCATTTTATTTCTTTTAGTAATTATCAGATTTTGGACTACTGAATGGGGTCACTGTGAAAAGTTCCGTGCTGCTCTAAATTGTTAAACTTAAAATCATGAACAGATAGAGAAAGAAAAAAACATCATGAACATACATGTATGATAATGAACAATTTTTTTTTTTATCTTATTATAGAATTTAATGAAAAAAAAACACTAATGATATAAGGAAATGATTTCTACACATATGACTAGTTCTAAACAAAACCATTACAGTATTACCTTAATTTACCTAAATTAAATGATAAGACCAATTATTTCTGGACGGATACAAAATGGACAAGTGTTGATACTGACAAAACAGTCACCAGCATTATGGAGCTAAATATACATGGAGAAGTAACTGTGACTTCGCACAGTTAAATTCAGTATCGGAGGAATTCTGTTCACGCAAGATATCATGTGGCGGGCTTTTTTGCGACTTGATGCATCCTGGATAAAAGTAGCCAAAATACCGCCATATTAAACTCCCAGAGGTACATTGACAAAAAAAAGACAAATCATTTTCTACTTATATAAGAAGCAATACTTATCTATTCTTAAACATACAATACACACTTTTCCATACAAATATTTCTCCGATGAAAATCCAAGTTGGCAATGTAAACAATAATTCACGGATACGGCCCAAGTTAAACAAGAGCGCAAAAATCAGAGACTAGCGGATAAACCCGATTATCACCGAGACACGCAAAGGATTGTGGGTCTGAATCTGACTAGAATCTATTTTCGGAGCTTCCTATCTGTTGTATATATATCTCATAGAAATTTCAACATAACTTATATCAAGTATGATACTGATATCTGGTAACCCGAGTTTAATTTTCCATTACCTAACAAAACATGAGAAAAAAGTTAACAAGGAAAGGGAGAAATTTAATGAACGCATCTTCCCCCCCACCCCAACCCCCCCCCCCCCCCAAAAAAAAATCACAGAAACACCAGTACAGGCCAGCAGTCAGTCATAGGAAAGATAAAACATATGTGGAAAAAATACCTATAAGGAAGAGTGCCTATACAAATCCTGAAATTCAAGTCAAAGTTTGTCCTAATGATGTAATCAAGTGACGATATAATATAAAAGTCAAAAGCTTTAATATTAGCTTTCTATCTCACCATTGAGCTATGTTTAATAATAATCTGTCTGTATACAGACAGTCCATTGTTTGCCTGAGGAATTATTTTGATTGTAAACATATACATATATTAAAATAAACCCATTAGAAAGTCATGTAACAAAATACACTCATGCATAAAAAATCTTCAAAAAGTATACTTTACAATATAACACCAGCTTTTTATCAAGACACAAAAAATTTAACCAGGACTAAAAATCTAAATTGAAAAAGGGGCATAACTTTGCATAAAATTTTAAGGATTATGTGCCTTTTTGAAATGGCATTCATTTATGATAAAGTATAAAGTGAATAGCTTTTATAGTTTCTGAGAACATGGATCTTATCAAATATTAACCAACACTGACACCAATGCTGACGAGACAATCTTGACAATAGCTCCACTTTTTTTCTTCAAAAAATTGAAATGAAAATCAAATTTAGTAATGATTTCTATTGAAAACTAAAATATTAATCATATATGAATCAGACTTAAGATAACTTTATCTTTGATTGTATCATTCATTTTACACTACATTGTATGCTTTATATTTTCTGACATTGATAACCTATATATATATATAGCCTTGCTAACCCTTGAGTTTCAGTTACATAACACTGCATGCCTGACTAGTCTGACGTTTAAGTCCACCAGGTTTCTGATCACCGATGTTACGTCGGAACAATTTTTTCTGTTTGTTTTGTTCAATCGGAGCTTTCTGTTCCTTGCTCTCTGCTTCTATAGGAGCGTAACTTTCTGGTATATCTAAATAGTAAAAAGCAATACATTAATGTAACAAGTGAAGGTGACACCCTACAATATAATCTATATAGCTGTTAGCATATTTCTGTCAAGAAACTGATAAAATATAACTACTTTTGAAAGAAATGAATAAATTTTGGTTTATTTTCAAAAAATGCTGTAAAAGATATTCATGGGATAAGATTAAAAACGTTTCCAAGAGTAACTAAAGCTGTCACATAAGTGATGATATCCCTACCATCTCTGTGGCACAGAATTTTATGTTGGTCAATTTATCATCAATCCTTCAATGAGTCTAGGATTTAAAGTACTTACAAAAACAATGCCTTTATTTTTACCTCCTAGGGGGGCCCTTGACTCTGAGCAAGCATAGGCACAATGGTTCTGCTCACCACCTTGTTGAGGGGAACATTTGAGTTAAGTTTGAAGAAAATTATTTAAGGGGTATAGAAGTTGAGTATACAGGAAGTTGGCAGACATTTTTGCTTCAGATAAACCTTGACCTTGAGATATGAAGACAGCACCAGTGCTTAATCTGCTTAATAGGGTTCTATTTCTGTTTTTCAAAATGACATCTGTAACAAATGAGTAAATACACCTGTAAATGACTGAAATCAATATTATCTGATTGCACTGAAGTACCCTAGTTTCCATCAATTTGAGAAAAATTACAGTTACTATAGTTACCAGCTGTGGGTATAGCATTATCGGTATTGAACTTGACTGCATATCTTTCCTCTGTCTTACTTCTCCAAGCTTTCTTATGTTTATCACACAGCCATACTACCTTTCCATTCACATGGCATCTGTAACATAATATAAGGTTATCTTACAGTGTTCCCAACAATAATATAGTTAATGACGAATACATACAGACAAAACAAATTGGGTAACTCAAAAGTGTAACATCAACTCAACTCATTTTTCTAATCGAGTATAGTTGAACTTTAAAAAAGTGTCTATCAATTGATGTCAACAATGATATGAATTGATACATTTAAAGATATGAAGTTGCAAGTTGATAACTCCTATAATTTTTATCTTAGCCATGTCCCAGGCAAATAAATCTGATGGCCAAATAGGCTTATTCAAGCAAACCTCTTTCAGTTTGTTGTGGCCATGGTATAAAAATGGACAACAAAGACAAATCAAAAGATAGGTGTATCAATCACATTAATTGTTAAGATAGAAGTAAACAGTTAGACAGATACCTGTATAGACCGGCCATAGACCTAACATAAAAAGTTAGATAGATACCTGTATAGACCGGCCATAGACCTAGTAAACAGTTAGACAGATACCTGTATAGACCGGCCATAGACCTAGCATAAACAGTTAGACAGATACCTGTATAGACCGGCCATAGACCTAGTAAACATTTAGACAGATACCTGTATAGACCGGCCATAGACCTAGCATAAACAGTTAGACAGATACCTGTAAAGACCGGCCATAGACCTAGCATAAACAGTTAGACAGATACCTGTATAGACCGGCCATAGACCTAGTAAACAGTTAGACAGATACCTGTATAGACCGGCCATAGACCTAGCATAAAAAGTTAGATAGATACCTGTATAGACCGGCCATAGACCTAGTAAACAGTTAGACAGATACCTGTATAGACCGGCCATAGACCTAGCATAAACAGTTAGACAGATACCTGTATAGACCGGCCATAGACCTAGTAAACAGTTAGACAGATACCTGTATAGACCGGCCATAGACCTAGCATAAACAGTTAGACAGATACCTGTATAGACCGGCCATAGACCTAGCATAAACAGTTAGACAGATACCTGTATAGACCGGCCATAGACCTAGTAAACAGTTAGACAGATACCTGTATAGACCGGCCATAGACCTAGCATAAAAAGTTAGATAGATACCTGTATAGACCGGCCATAGACCTAGTAAACAGTTAGACAGATACCTGTATAGACCGGCCATAGACCTAGCATAAAAAGTTAGATAGATACCTGTATAGACCGGCCATAGACCTAGTAAACAGTTAGACAGATACCTGTATAGACCGGCCATAGACCTAGCATAAAAAGTTAGACAGATACCTGTATAGACCGGCCATAGACCTAGCATAAAAAGTTAGATAGATACCTGTATAGACCGGCCATAGACCTAGCATAAACAGTTAGATAGATACCTGTATAGACCGGCCATAGACCTAGTAAACAGTTAGACAGATACCTGTATAGACCGGCCATAGACCTAGCATAAACAGTTAGACAGATACCTGTATAGACCGGCCATAGACCTAGCATTGTCTTGCTGCATCACCGTTGTACGAAGGTTCAAATATTCCTCCTTGAAGTCACCACCACTCTTTATACCAATCTATATAAATATATCAGAAACTACATGTATAATATTTCTTTTCAAGTTTTGAAAAAAAACAACAATTTAGTAACTTTCTAAAATGTTTCAATATCTAACACTTGTGTTGCCATTATGAAGAATTCTCCAAATTTGTTCTTTAATAACAAACAACCAAGGTTGTAAACAGTGTTAAGGTAAGATAATAATTAGTTTATTCAACTGTTTTGTCATTAAGTTATACATACAATTGTATCTTAATAATTAGAATTTGTATTATTAAAAAACATTTACTCAATTACTCATAAATTATCAAGTTGAGATTAACATTCTTGTAAACTGCACAATGATTTTTATTTGTTTGGATCATCAGACCAAACAAATAATGGTAGCGAAATTTCAGACTCTAATGCTGTTAATTGCAAGTGCTGAAAGTAGTCCGCTTTTTTGAAGCGGTTACTTCCCTTTATATGTAACACTTAGGCCGAAAATTTAAGGGGAGATCACTGCGTAAATATGGTCACATGACAGGCGGAATAATTTTCAAGCAAAATAATTCCCGAATAGTCGAAGATTTCTAATATTGTTTTATTCTTTATAGATAAACATGCTTATAGTAAGCGCCATGATTATTTACACAAGTGTTAAACAACAGTTAGCGTCGTTACAAACCCTAACTAGAATAATATGATTTTCTTCAGACCGTAATTATGTAAATCCACCGTGGTCGAGGGGTTTGTGTTCTCGCTTAGAAAGCGAGAGGTCTGGAGTTCAAAGCCCAGTTAAGACAACTCATTTTTTTTTAAAATTGTTTAAGTCAAATAAACATTGGATCAAATATCAGTGTTGCAATTAGTCTTATAGCCAATCTACTACAATTAAAACGCTGGAAAGCATTGTTGGCACTATACAAAAACAAATTGTTTTATAATCTCACAACCTTCACCTTTCTGACATTCTGAGACCCAAACAAATTCAGCGCCTTCTGTGCTTTGATTTAGTTATGCTGTTGAACAAAACTGAGGAACAGATGGTCTCAACTAAGGACTTATCTGAGGTGAATAATACATATACACATAGTTTTAAGGTGTAAATTTAGGTAAACAATGAATGAGACGCTATTGTCAACCTAATCTTACCTTCATTACTTTCCTTATCTCTATGCCAAAAAGTGGACTGAATGACCAGTGGGGTATTTTCTAAATAACAGTATGTTAATCGAATGATACAGTAACTCTCATAAATATACAGAATGATATAGAGAAATTAATGTATCATGACTAACCTCTTCGAGTCGTTGTTGAAGTATTTCACCCTCTGGTTTTGTGAGACAGTCTAACTGAATGTTACTGTATTTCATGATGGTGTACAGTCTAGTAAGGTATGGGGCAGAGGTTTCAATCAACTGCTGCTCACCTTCAAGGTCAAGGTCAGGAAATGTTGTATAGTTGGGCATTACATGCCAACCCTGAAAACATATCACACAAGTGTACCACTCACAATTATTTTAGAAATTCACCAATATTAACTCAGGTGTTATCATTCACAAATATTTTGAAATAGTATTACATTAAGAAAGTATATCTCTATACAGCCAGAATAGATCAGTATCCTAGGATTGTGCCAGATAAAGAATGGAGACAGTAAAAACAGAATAGTATAATCTTCATTTCTTAAACAAACTTTTCTTAAATAGCAAAACTCATTAAAAATATTACAAATAATATATTAATGAAATATTTACCTCAACATGTTCACACATTAGTCGGAAGCAATATTTGGACTTGAGAGGTGGCCTTATATTTTCTGCTTTCTCCTGGATAAAAAAAACCATTGATAAATAAGTATAGTCTACTCTGTCTACTAAAATTAGTCAGGGGGTTTGGGGTAAAATCTCTCTGAACAATACCTTTATTATGTATGTGTAATGCTATATGGATTTTATAGATTTTTTATTGTCTGTGAACTTACTCAGACACTGTAAGTATATTGTAAACAAATTATGATATAACTAGAAATGTATCCATGGCAAATGTATGCCTTTGTTAGACTAATGACTCACACAGTGACAGCTAGACAGATAGATGGACAAGGGAATATTTATATGCCCTAGAGGCCCTCCCCTAAGTTGGGACATATTTATATAAACTGTCATTTGCCCACTTTTAACACTTAATTAACACACTGACACATATAATACTACTACATTCAAACATTAAATAAACCTTATGAATAACAGATTTTAAAATACAAGGTACACCAACAAGGTAAACAAATGAAAAAGATTACAGTCAAATGCTATATTGTTGAATGCCCATAGATCTATTACATAAGTAACAACATCAAACATATATGAAATATAAACTATAAATGAGCCGCGTCACCACAAAACCAACATAATGTGTTTGCGACCAGCATGAATCCAGACCAGCCTGCGCATCCGCGCAGTCTGATCAGGATCCATGCTGTTCACTATCAGTTTCTCTACTTGTTATAGGGTTTGTAAGCAAACAGCATGGATCCTGATCAGACTGCGCGGATACACAGGCTGGTCTGGATCCATGCTGGTCGCAAACGCATTATCTTGGTTTTGTCGTGATGTGGCTCAAATATATAAGGTTATACCTGTTTTTGTTCAGCGCTGGTACTGGCATCATCCTCTTTCTTCTTATCATCTTCACTATTTTTTTCATCTTCCTTCCTTAATAACTCCCAATCTTGTTTCTCCTTATCAGTTATAAAGTCCACTATGAAGAGATTTGGGTATGCTTCCATATCTATACTGATGAACGAGTTCGTGATATGTCGTAAAAACTTTCTCTGAGTCAATTCTAACACTTCCTGTAAATTTCAATTAGAACAAAAAAATAAAAAATTTCATCAGATTCATATACAATGTACATGTATTTTGCTGTTGAGATGATGCTGTTTCCAATGCATTTAAACAACTGTTTACCTCATTTCAATTACTCTTAAATGCACACTATACCCCATACAAAGATTTTATCTTTATTTCTCAAAAGCTTTTCATGTTTTGTGCACTTTTATAATTTCCAAAAAGTTACTCATTGGCCAATACCGTATCTGAACCATCTTTTCTTCTGTTGCTTTGAAGTCTTTGTTTACATTTTACAAGTTTTATGACAAATAATTTCACACTAAGCACTACTATCCTTGGGAAACAAGCACCTTATATGTTCTAAATCCATTATCTAAACAAGAAAAAATAAGATGTTTGTCATTTCAAAGATTACCTTTCCGAGGTGTAAGAAATCTCATTTGTGAGATTGTAGGCAATTCCAAACTACTTCCTGAATTAAAACGTTTTGATCTAATAAGATCACACAACGTTTAAATAAGTTCTATGGAACAGTTTTTATTGTGCCTATATGTCTATATAATAATTGGAAAGATATCCTCAAAATAAAAATAAATTATATAATTTACCAATGGAAATTACTCAAAAATTATGCAAAAAAAGTACTTTGGCTTAGAACTTAGAATTTTCCAAAATGAAATCTACTCATTGTCAAATTTGAAGTTGACACATAATTTCAATTATTTCAAGTATGAAAATTACAAAGGGCAATAATAATGCATTAAAGAATCATTGTTTTTACCATTACATTTCAACCAACAGTGAGTTTTATCTTTATATAAAATTTCACATTGATACTTCCATTAATTTTTGAATTATGACAAGCCAATAAATTGTTTGAAAAATTACAATCATTTCAAAATTATGCCAAAGAGAGTTATGGCTCTTATAAATTAATTTTTGTTCTAATTGTGACTTATCAATCTTTGAAAAACCCCAGATGATACCTCAAATATTTCTTGGACAAACAAAACTAGATGTGCGGCCTGACAGAAAAGCAGGCTGATCTCAATTTACGAAATTTGGTGATATTGTAAATAACTGTATAACTTCAGTACTTAATGTAACTGTATAACTTAAGTATTTATTGTAACTGTATAACTTTAGTATTTAATGTAACTGTACAACTTAAGTATTTAATGTAACTGTACAACTTAAGTATTTAATGTAACTGTATAACTTTAGTATTTAATGTAACTGTATAACTAAAGTATTTAATGTAACACTGAAGTATTTAATGTAACTGTATAACTTTAGTGTTTAATGTAACTGTATAACTTTAGTATTTAATGTAATTGTATAACTTTAGTATTTAATGTAACTGTATAACTTTAGTATTTAATGTAACTGTATAACTTTAGTATTTAATGTAATTGTATAACTTTAGTATTTAATGTAATTGTATAACTTTAGTATTTAATGTAACTGTATAACTTTAGTATTTAATGTAACTGTATAACTTAGTATTTAATGTAACTGTATAACTTTAGTATTTAATGTAATTGTATAACTTTAGTATTTAATGTAATTGTATAACTTTAGTATTTAATGTAACTGTATAACTTTAGTATTTAATGTAATTGTATAACTTTAGTATTTAATGTAATTGTATAACTTTAGTATTTAATGTAACTGTATAACTTTAGTATTTAATGTAACTGTATAACTTTAGTATTTAATGTAATTGTATAACTTTAGTATTTAATGTAATTGTATAACTTTAGTATTTAATGTAACTGTATAACTTTAGTGTTTAATGTAACTTAACTTAAGTTAAATGCATCCCTATCCTAGAAAATAGAACACCTGTCCGTCTAAAGAAGAAGTAAACTTGTCAAACTATAGACAAAGGTACATCTGTCTGACTGTACTCTCAAACTGCAGACAAAAGTATATCAGTCTGTCCATTATACAGTCAAACTATAGACAAAAGTACATCTGTTCAACTGTACTATAAAAACATAGACAAAAGTACATCCGTTAAACTATACTATCAAAACATAGGAAAAAGTATCGCAAAAATCTGTTCAACTATTACCTGTAGTGCTATATTTCTCTGTTTGTCAAGATCCTGACTATCATCATTCTTCTCCTTGTTGTTGGCCATTGTTTCTTGTACTAACTTCAAAATCTGTAGATAACCAGCCTCATTATCAAATTGTAGATTTACCTTGGGACAACTGTGACCAACAGCCATTAAACCAACCTGGAAATTATAGTAAACATGTTAAATACATTGTAATAAATCAATACATCTATATCTATTATTATATATATATTTAATATTATACCATTAAACATTAAGTTCAAAATCTAAGGTGAAATCTGTTCTTTACTTTAACATAGATAATTTTCATGACAGGTATATACCACATTGTCTTTACATTATTAAATGTTAACATGTCCATCAGAAAGCTGTAAATAAATCTCCCACTTTGACTTTCAAACTATCTTAATGTTTTGACCAATTGGAAAAATATAAAGTGGACTAAAGGGTATTGTTTAGTATTTCCCAGACATGCTATTATCTTTGTACAGTAACTGATGTTAAAAGCCCTTAAATTTTGCAAATATACAAATGTAGTAAATGTAACATGCCTAGCAAAACTGCTAAATACTAGTTCCCCAATTTTGGACATGGACTATTCATTGGTACCCTGGTATTATACTGTATCCATTTTTGTGATTATCAGTTAAATATTAGGACTTCAAAACTGTAATTTCAGAAATTCTGTCAACATGATATACAACCATGATCAATGGCAAGATTTTTTAATGCCAATTAACAACAAGAGGGCCATGATGGCCCTGAGGTCGCTCACCTGTATATAGGCCCCCAACCCCCCCACCCCCAACGTTGCAGGGCCAATTTAACCCAAGGGCTTTTATTTGCACAAACTTGGTAGACACCCATAAGAAGATGTTTCATGCTAAACATCTAAGCTCTAGCTCATTGGGCTTTTTAAAAGAAGATTTTTCTTAAGTTTTTACTATACACATATAGTTAAAAACAATGACACCCCTGGGGCCGGGCCAGTTTTGACCCCAGGGCTTTTATTTGAACAAACTTTGTAGACACTTACTAGAAGATGTTTCATGCTTTACATCTAAACTCTAGCTATTTGGGTTTTTTCAAAGAAGATTTTAAGTTTTTGCTATACACATATAAAGAAATTCAATGACCCCGGGGCGGGGCCAATTTTGACCCCAGGTCTTTTATTTGAACAAACTTTGTAGACACTCACTAAAAGATGTTTCATGCTTAATATCTTAACTCTAGCTATTTGGGTTTTTTCAAAGAAGATTTTTTAAGTTTTTGCTATACACATATAAGGAAAATCAATGACCCCCGGGGCGGTGTCAATTTTGACCCTAGGGCTCTTATTTGAACAAACTTGGTAGACACCTATTAGAACATGTTTGATGCTAAATATCTTAGCCATAGCTCTTTGAGTTCTTTAAAAGAAGATTTTTTAAGTTTTTACTATATGCATATAGGGAAAATCAATGACCCCCCGGGCGGGGCCAATTTTGACCGTAGGGCTTTTATTTGAACAAACTTGGTAGACACCCATTAGAACATGTTTCATGCTAAATATCTTAGCTCTAGCTCTTTTGGTTCTTTAAAAGAAGATTTTTTAAGTATTTACTATATGCATATAGGGAAAATCAATGACCCCGCGGGGCGGGGCCAATTTTGACCCCAGGGCTTTTATTTGAACAAACTTGGTAGACACTCACTAGAAGATGTTTCATGCCAAATATGTAAGCTCTAGCTCTTATGGTTTTTTAAAAGAAGATATTTAAAGTTTTTTCTTTCAGTTGCCATGGCAATCAGAGTTCTGCATGGAATTAAATTCTTCGAACAATTTTTAAAGGTGACTACCAAAGGAACATTCCTGTGAAGTTTGGATGAAATTGGCTTAGTGGTTTATGAGGAGATGTCATTTAAAGTAAAAGTTTATGGACGGACGACGGACGGACGCTGGACGGACGGACGACGGACGAAAAGCGATCACAAAAGCTCACCCTGTCACTTTGTGACAGGTGAGCTAAAAATAATAAATAACAGGATGTAACACTATAATACATGATATGTAAATCTATTGTTTAATAGTTCTACAATACTCTATCGCATTGTGAAACTCTGCTGAATAAACTAAATTTAGCTCAAGAAATAAAACATTACTACATGTACTATATACATGTACTATATACCTCTTTTCTCTCCCATTCGTAACCCGTGCCAACCACCACTATTATTGTAGGAACACGTAAAGTGATCAAACTTTGTCTAAACTCCATCACACAATTCTTGGATTCTGCATACTACAAAATTTATGTCATACATATTAAATTTTAAATGAAAAATCCAACAAAAAAGGGGTGATTTTTCTGATGGGTAGACAAAGCAAAAGAAGTTATTTCTTATGACACTGAGGTTTTGTACTAAATAAAGCATGCCATGACAATATAACAACAAAATTGTATTAAAGTAATTAACAATCATAAACAGAGACATTTTTTATCATTTGACTAATAATTAATTAAATATATGATAATTACCTCATCAGAAACAAAAGCTACCATAACTTTAGCTTCTCTCAGTCCGTCTGCTATAGATGTGTACAAACCAAGCTGAATAATGATAGAGAAAAGTCATGTATATTGTAATTCATTTACTTGCAGTTTCAAATTTCACAAAGGGGCATAAATCAGGTAAATTCAATGTCATGCAAGAGTTACAGTCCTTATACAGTTACAAATAAACTTCCAAATATAATATCAAAGACATGTACCAAGTAAGAAGCAAATATCTGTAGAGACTGATGAGACTTGATATTGAACAATTTGTATGACTTTGACCAAAATGTTACACTGATGGCGAGGTCAGTAGGATAGCCCGACAGTTCTTAGAATAATGAAACACACATGACAACAAGACATACTACTTTGGAAAAGTTTAATATAATTAAACAAGATATGAAATCAACTTACCCCACCCACTCTCTCAACATCAATCCAACATCCGATGCCTTTATCAGCTAGGAATTTCTTCACAACTCTTGGATCACCTCCTGACCACCCTAAAGCATTTTCCTTAGCTCTTGACCCTTTAGCTATTGCTTCATGAGAGTTTGTCCAGCAATAACTGATGAAACATTCTGGTACTTCTTCCTTGATCTAGCATACCACAAAAAACAACAAGTGTTATTCTTCTGTATATAAATGATTCACAGGTTCTATAATAATTATTCTATGTTACATCCTTTAAGCTTTTATCAAAAAGAAAATATATAAGCTACCTACAATATGACTTACAAATGTATGTGTTCAACACTTAGAAAGATAAAGGTAAAATAACAAGAATAAAGATCAACAAGGCAAAGGCAACGTTCACAGGACGCCGCCCCCGGACACCAAGAAGGTACCAAACAAGTACCTGGAGTGGACACAAGGGGAAAGGGGCGGGACATGTAATGTGAAATAATATAAACAAAAACAGGCCCATAAGGGAACCAAAGGGAAAAGGGCTGTACGGGTGAAAAGGCGGGGGGGGAGTGGGGTCAAAAATGGAAGAGGGTGGGAAAGAGAAAATACCTACCGTTAATGACAATCCAACGAGACAGACATCACAAAACAGGTAAACATCCAAAAACAAGTAACAATACAGACAAGAAAAACACGTGAAGGAACACAAAGGGTAAGTCTGTATTATAAATAACTAACACTGACATTAAGTACTTTAGGATGCTATAAATATTACAAATGGCAAATATAAAAAGAAATATATTAATTAAACTACAAATGTGTCTATACCACACTTATTCCCTCACCCTCCATATTACATTTCAACCTTGACCTTGGTATTGTTTGCAACACATCACCTACTATTGTGATGATGTGTATAAATCTATTTTGAAATTCAATCATCATTATCAGACACTAACTCAAGCTGCACTTAAGACTATGTCAAACACACTAAGTTCATTCCCTTACTGTAACCTTGACCTTTGATTTTCTGATCTGGGTTTTGCACTTGACACATGATCTATATATGATCTATCTTCATGTGTACCAATTTATCTTAAAATCCCCGGATTTTGTTTGCACACACAAACACACATTTGGAAAAAGTGACACTAACTGCCCTTAGTCATTATTAGAACTTTAGTACTAGATTGCTTCTTAGCTAAAAGGGTTTTGTGTGGAAAGGAAAAGCTTTATTGATATTTAATGATGAGATAAAACTGGAAGTAAAATATTACTGGGATATATGATGATAGAGAATGATTTGTTCTAGCTCAATACAAGATTTAAGGAAGGCAAATAACATGTTCTCATTTAAAGTCTAGGATTTTTTTTCAAGAAATATTTTATAAGTATATCCCAATGATACATTTATATTGTTTTTATCAATAAATTTGAAAAACTTAAAGACAATTAACCCACTGTAGCCTTATTAACTTTAAAAAGTTTTAACCTAGTAAATTATCTGAAAAATGTAACAAATTACTCATATATTTTTTATCTACATATTTTTACTGTAAAGGAGAGGTAGTGGAACATTTCATCATTATATATAAAACATTAAAAAAAATATTTTACCTTTTTCTTACTTTCATCTTTCTTTTTGATAGCCACAAATAATTCCTTAATCTTGTGCTGATATCTGTCTATCTTTGTCATATCCACAAATACCTGATCAATATATACAGAGGAACATTTTAACTTTGTCATATCCACAAATACCTGATCAATATATACAGAGGAACATTTTAACTTTGTCATATCCACAAATACCTGATCAATATATACAGAGGAACATTTTAACTTTGTCATATCTACAAATACCTGATCAATATATACAGAGGAACAATTTATCTTTGTCATATCCACAAATACCTGATCAATATATACAGAGGAACATTTTATCTTTGTCATATCCACAAATACCTGATCAATATATACAGAGGAACAATTTATCTTTGTCATATCCACAAATACATGATCAATATATACAGAGGAACATTTTATCTTTGTCATATCCACAAATACCTGATCAATATATACAGAGGAACAAATTTAAATTTGTCATATCCACAAATACCTGATCAATATATACAGAGGAACTTTTCATATCTACAAATACCTGATCAATATATACAGAGGAACATTTTAACTTTGTCATATCCACAAATACCTGATCAATACATACAGAGGAACATTTTATAAATAGCAATAATAATTACATCAGTCAGTATTGTGTACTACATACAGGTATATGTATATGACAAGTAGTTTTCTTTCTTTTAAAACAAAACAAATTTATTTACAATACAGACTACACACCACATAACTCAATAAAAAGATAACTCAGAGTTATGGGACCTGAGCCTTTCATGTTAGATAATCACCAAATACAAGTCTGTGAAAGTTCAACCCATTTACTTAAGTTGCACACAAAAACTTAACCAAAGTGTAATGGTGATGCCAACATGAGTACAAAAGCTCTCCCTATTTTTCAAATATCTGTGCTAAAATCTTATTATGTATAAGCCAATGAAAACCTCAGTCACCATGGTTGGCAAAATTTATATTTAAAAAAAATGTTAAGTGACTAAATTCTAGACATAGTAATTATTTGACTAAGCACTAAAATGCTGATGACTGAACAATGTTGAAATCAAAGCACATTTACCATGAGAGTTTACCCAATAACCAATAAGCATATTTAGATGAAAAGATATAATATACTTATCACCAAGTGGCATATTTAGATGAGAAGACATAGTATACCTTATCACCAAGTTGCATATTTAGATGAGAAGATATATTTTACCTCATAACCAAGTGGCATATTTAGATGAGAAGATATGGTATACCTCATAACCAAGTGGCATATTTAGATGAGAAGATATGGTATACTTCATCACCAAGTGGCATATTTAGATGAGAAGATATATTTTACCTCATCACCAAGTGGCATATTTAGATAAGAATATATATTTTACCTCATCACCAAGTGGCATATTTAGATAAGAAGATATATTTTACCTCATCACCAAGAGGCATATTTAGATGAGAAGATATAGTTTACCTCATCACCAAGTGGAATATTAAGATGAGAAGATATGGTATACCTCATAACCAAGTGGCATATTTAGATGAGAAGATATGGTATACTTCATCACCAAGTGGCATATTTAGATGAGAAGATATATTTTACCTCATCACCAAGTGGCATATTTAGATAAGAATATATATTTTACCTCATCACCAAGTGGCATATTTAGATAAGAAGATATATTTTACCTCATCACCAAGAGGCATATTTAGATGAGAAGATATAGTTTACCTCATCACCAAGTGGAATATTTAGATGAGAAGATATAGTATACCTCATCACCAAGTGGAATATTTAGATGAGAAGATATAGTTTACCTCATTACCAAGTGGAATATTTAGATGAGAAGATATAGTATACCTCATCACCAAGTGGAATATTTAGATGAGAAGATATGGTATACCTCATCACCAAGTGGCATATTTAAATGAGAAGATATAGTTTACCTCATCACCAAGTGGAATATTTAGATGAGAAGATATAGTATACCTCATTACCAAGTGGAATATTTAGATGAGAAGATATAGTTTACCTCATCACCAAGTGGAATATTTAGATGAGAAGATATAGTTCGGCTCATCACCAAGTGGAATATTTAGATGAGAAGATATAGTATACTGCGAATTCACTTATATTCTTGGGCATGAAATTTCGTGGTTTTATCAAAACGGGCATTTTCGTGGGTTCTTAAATTCGTGGATTTTCATTTTCTTGTAAAATTTTTTAGTAACTTTAACTTAATCGCCGAACATTTTTACTTACAGCATGTACATATCTTTACGTGTCACACAACGCTTGTCAATAAATTTAATCCTTGCCTCTGGGCATAACTCTTACATGTCTAATATAGCACAGTTCACTGTCGATAACTGGCTGCAATAAACACATTCATGTGACATGATATGCACCTCCATTAGACACATAGCCCCTGTACTTCGCCGATGTAAACATCGCATAATTTATACGACACCTTACACGTTTTAACCAGCGAGTTTAAAAAGTTTACACCCTGAATTGGTCTTACCATATTTGACAGTAACTACACGCAACATCACAGCGACTGTGTAAATTTACATGCATATAAATTAAAATGAGTAAATAACATGAGTATGAGTGGATCTAGAAAAAGTCGGTGGCGACTTTGATGTTTATGTAAAAGCATTCGCACAAATACAGATTAAAAATTTATTTAAACTGGATCATTTAAAAACGTCAAAAGAATGTACAATTCATCTGTTTTAGTGATTGTATTTTTTATAGTTTTGTGTACTTACGACATTAATATCTAAGACTTGTTTTAAACTGACATTTTTTATAAGCGCTAATTATTGGATTGCCTGGGTTCCCATATTTACTCGATTATGTCAAGTATTCTAACAACGATCAGGTGTGAATATGCGACCGACATTTGTGACAGTAAACTGAGGACATATAATCGAGTTTCTTTCAAGTTTCTTAAATATTTAATCTGTCACTAACCTGGTTATCTTTACTGTATGTATATACATCCATTTCACGAAAATCGGCCGGAAAAGAACCAATGCATGTTTGTAATATATAGAACAGAGACATGGTAAGAAGTATTTGTTGGGATAAAATTTCGTCGGATCTTAAATTCGTGGATTGACCTACCCACGAAAACAACGAAAATTTGTGCCCCACGAATAATAATGATTTTACAGTACCTCATTACCAAAAGGCATATTTAAATGAGAAGATATAGTTTACCTCATTACCAAGTGGAATATTTAGATGAGAAGATATAGTTTACCTCATCACCAAGTGGCATATTTAGATGAGAAGATATAGTTTACCTCATCACCAAGTGGAATATTAAGATGAGAAGATATAGTTCACCTCATCACCATGTGGCATATTTAAATGAGAAGATATAGTATACCTCATTACCAAGTAGCATATTTAGATGAGAAGATATAGTTTACCTCATCACCAAGTGGCATATTACCATGAGAAGATATAGTTTACCTCATCACCAAGTGGCATATTTAGATGACAAGATATAGTTTACCTCATCACCAAGTGGCATATTTAGATCTCCTTTCTGCCAGTTCTTTGTCTGACCAAGCAGTAGTAGCAATATTGGTCTTTGAAGTACATCTTTTGTGTAGAGCAGTAATTTCTTACACACATCATCGTTAGCAAAGTTATCAGACAGACCAAACACTATTACATCATTAGCTTTGATTGACAATGTCAGAGCTTCCATGTCAGATGACTCAGGCTGATCTGTGTATGACCTACATGTACAATCATCAGATTAGCTAAATCACTTATTGAATATAATGTTATATACATAATAAATACCTAACGTTCTTTTCACACATCAGAACTGAAAATTGGCAAATTTCATTTGGTTGAGTCCAATATGAATTATACATGTTACCTCCCCCCAGTCTTTAATTGAGCAAAGCCCTTTATTCCTGATTTAACATTTTGAACTTCGATTATGACAGGTAAATCTGAGATGTGTAGATCTGACACTATATAAACATACAGTTATATATACACTTACACTTTGAGGTCATCTTGAGACCTCATATCTGCTAATATAGTTCCAGGATGAACACATTTCTCTGCATCCTTCAAGTCTGGTACGTCTTTAGTAGAGTAAACAAAGAAGACAGAGACCGTTTTCTCCTGTGTGAGGTCAATGAGTTCACGAACACTGTTACGTAGATGACTGTCTACCTCATCCATCTTATCTGATGGCATAGCATCTACAATATACAAATATGTACAAGCCTCTTAAATACATTTTTACAACAGTTTATACAACATCTGGAATATACAAGTTTATACAACATCTGAAATATATACAAGCCTCTTAAATACATTTATACAAGTCTATACAACATCTGAAATATATACAAGCCTCTTAAATACATTTATACAAGTTTATACAACATCTAAAATATACAAGTACATACAACATCTAAAGTGAACATTGTCAAGACCTGCAAGTTGGACTTTTCTCATATTGATTTTTGTGAAAATAAATTTTACCTTTAATCTCCTGTAATGACAGCATATGGAAGAATTTCTCACACTGTAGGAATGGAACATTAAGTTCTAGAGCTCTTTTGACCTTCTGATATGACATCATACTTGGATCCTTCACATTCTAGAAAATTATAATCAAAGTATGGTTTTAATAGTATACAAGCTTTTTTTCCAAGATAAAAAATGATTAACATGATGTACAGGCAATATATAAATAATCATTGTGAAATACAGTAAAACTACTTCTGCGTAATTATAAAATCATATTCAATTCAGGGCCGGCAAAATCAATTGTCCGAGTTGCCCGAGTCGTAAAATTGTAGGTCCGGGCAAGTAAAATTCTGCAGTTTACTTGTCCGTGGACAAGTAAATTTCTGCAACTAAAAGAAAAAATTCTGTAGAAAAAATCTAGTTTAGTTTCTAAATCAGAAGGAAAATCACACATTTGATACGAAAACTAGCGTCATTCATGAGGGCATTCCGTGCATATTAGGGTGTTACTATTTTAAGTGTTTACATAAATAGCGACCAACCAGGCTTGGGGTTTTCCTTACGTCATGCAGTTACTGCATGCCCGCGGCAATTAACTAATTATTGAGGGTACATGTTTGTTTTGGTTTATGTCTGCCGACTTAGCCTCTGCAATCAAATATTTTCGGTAGCAACGGGGTTCTGCCATAAAATTGAATTGGAAGTTGTGGTCTTTTCAAGCGCATTTATTGTTTAGATAGCAGACACAGCATCAATCCCGCAACAATTGTCTTTGAAATACGCTGTGTTATTTAAGAAAATTAAATACTTTGTATAGCTTTTCCAGGTCAATCGGGAATATTTACGCTCATATCGGCAATTTGACTGCTTGAATTTATGTGGACAAAGTCATTTTATAATTTATTTTATGTAAAGATTTCTTGTGAAAATGCCTTTGTTTTTGAATGTCTAATACTGGTGTTAATGTATACATGTCAGTTTCATCGTCGCCGATGATGATGTCAAAATTTTCACAATTCATCTGCTGCAACCAAGCGTATATACGTATATGATATTACATTCTGTGGCAATCATAATTATATCGTTAAAACAAGAGGGCCATGATGGCCCTGAAGTCGCTCACCTGTATATAGGCCCCTAGAGGGGGCCAGTTTAAACCCCAGGGCTTTTATTTGAACTAACTTGGTAGACACCCATTAGAAGATATTTCATGCTTAACATCCAAGGTCTAGCTGGTCAAGTTTTTTTCTTTACACATATAGTTAAAAACAATGACACACCTGGGGCAGGGCCAGTTTTGATCCAAGGGCTTTTATTTGAACACTCTTTGTAGACACTTACTAGAAAATGTTTCATGCTTAATATCTAAACTCCAGCTATTCGGGTTTTTTCAAAGAAGACTTCTAATTTTTTGCTATACACATATAAGGAAAATCAATGTCAGCCGGGGCGGGGCCAATTTTGACCCCAGGGCTTTTATTTGAACAAACTTGGTAGACAATCACTAGAAGATGTTTCATGCTTAGTATCTAAACTCTAGCTATTTGGTTTTTTTCAAAGAAGATTTTTTAAGTTTTTTCTATACACATATAAGGAAAATCAATGACCCCCAGGGCGGGGCCAATTTTGACCCCAGGGCTCTTATTTGAACAAACTTGGTAGACATCCATTAGAACATGTTTCATGCTAAATATCTTAGTTCTAGCACTTTGGGTTCTTTAAAAGAGATTTTTTAAGTTTTTACTATATGCATATAGGGAAAATCAATGACCCCCTGTGGCGGGGCCAATTTTGACCCCAGGGCTTTTATTTGAACAAACTTGGTAAACACCCATAAGAAGATGTTTCATGGTAAATATCTTAGCTCTAGCTCTTTGGGTTCTTTAAAAGAATTTTTTTTAAATTTTTACTATATGCCTATAGGTAAAATCAAAGACCCCCTGGGGCGGGGCCAATTTTGACCCCAGGGCTTTTATTTGAACAAACTTGGTAGACATCCATCAGAACATGTTTCATGCCAAATATCTAAGCTCTAGCTCTTTGGGTTTTTTTAAAGAAATTTTTTTAAGTTTTTACTTTATGCATATAGGGAAAATCAATGACCCCCTGGGGCGGGGCCAATTTTGACCCCAGGGCTTTTATTTGAACAAACTTGGTAGACATCCATTAGAACATGTTTCATGCTAAATATCTTAGCTCTAGCACTTTGGGTTCTTTAAAAGAAGATTTTTTAAGTTTTTACTATATGCATATAGGGAAAATCAATGACCCCCTGGGGCGGGGCCAATTTTGACCCCAGGGCTTTTATTTGAACAAACTTGGTAGACATCCATTAGAACATGTTTCATGCCAAATATCTAAGCTTTAGCTCTTTGGGTTTTTTAGAAGAAGATTTTTTAAGTTTTTACTATATGCATATAGGGAAAATCAATGACCCCCTGGGGCGGGGCCAATTTTGACCCTAGGGCTTTTCTTTGAACAAACTTGGTAGACACTTACTAGAAGATGTTTCATGCCAAATATCTAAGCTCTAGCTCTTTGGGTTTTTTAGAAGAAGATGTTTAAAGTTTTTTCTTTTGGTTGCCATGGCAACCAGAGTTCTGCATGGAATTAAATTCTTTGAACAATTTTTAAAGGTGACCACCAAAGGAACATTCCTGTGAAGTTTGGATGAAATTGGCTTAGTGGTTTATGAGGAGATGTCATTTAAAGCAAAAGTTTACGGACGACGGACGGACGACGGACGGACGGACGGACGGACGCCGGACGAAAAGCGATCACAAAAGCTCACCCTGTCACTTTGTGACAGGTGAGCTAAAAAGCCAGATGTCATCAATTTGACAAATCTAACTCAAGAGTACATATGATTTTTTAACAGGATTCAAATGAATATTATATAGATGAATAGAATAAGGAGTGAATAAATAAGAAATGGTACCAGCAAAATAATGAAGACAATATTTTAAAGCAATTTGAGTGCAAGGAAAACTGAAAAAGTGCTGGCAAAAGACCAATGCTCCTTCCAGTAAAATATACACAATTTGTCCATCACTGTCGTCCTACTTTAATCTACTGCTGTTAACATTTTATAAATATATTATATCATAATCATAATATATTATATTATTAAATATATGGCATAGAATGTTTAATAAAATTGAAAGAAAGTTCATAATCATATTGCTCTTCTTTATTGACATTTGCAGTTAATATTAAATATAAATAGGGACAAGTGAACATTGAGTACGGACAAGTAAATTTCTTAGGTTACTTGTCCGTGGACAAGTACAATTTTCTGAGAAATTGCCAGCCCTGTACATATATATCTAAAATATTTTACAATAATTTGTCTTCAAAATCAAAATTAAACTTTCCATGTAAGTAATGTCACAGTATTCTGGTTGTACAATCAGAACATAACCAATATCACAGTATTCTGGTTGTATAATCAGAACATAACCAATATCACTGTATTCTGGTTGTATAATCAGAACATAACCAATATCACAGTATTCTGGTTGTATAATCAGAACATAACCAATATCACAGTATTCTGGTTGTATAATCAGAACATAACCAATATCACAGTATTCTGGTTGTATAATCAGAACATAACCAATATCACAGTATTCTGGTTGTACAATCAGAACATAACCAATATCACAGTATTTTGATTGTATAATCAGAACATAACCAATATCACAGTGTTCTGGTTGTATAATCAGAACATAACCAATATCACAGTATTCTGGTTGTATAATCAGAACATAACCAATATCACAGTATTCTGGTTGTATAATCAGAACATAACCAATATCACAGTATTCTGGTTGTATAATCAGAACATAACCAATATCACTGTATTCTGGTTGTACAATCAGAACATAACCTATGTCACAGTACTCTGGTTGTATAATCAGAACATGACTGATTTCACAGTATTCTGGTTGTATAATCAGAACATAACCTATGTCATAGTATTCTGGTTGTATAATCATAACCTATGTCACAGTATTCTGGTTGTATAATCAAAACATAACTGATTTCACAGTATTCTGGTTGTATAATCAAAACATAACCTATGTCACAGTATTCTGGTTGTATAATCAGAACATGACTGATTTCACAGTATTCTGGTTGTATAATCAGAACATAACCTATGTCACAGTTTTCTGGTTGTATAATCAGAACATAACCTATGTCACAGTATCAAGGTTGTATAATCAGAACATAACCTATGTCACAGTATTATGGTTGTATAATCAGAACATAACCCAGTCTGTGCGAAAGTCCGTCGGTCCTCGGTCCTGGCTGAATAAAAATCATTCGGTCCGAGAAAAATTCCTTTCCGTCAGTCCTCATGTCCGAATAAAATTTCAAAAAGTTAAAAATATCAATGACCTGATTGATAACAAGTTCCCGGTGATGCAAAGAATTTATTAAAGAAGATATTGACCAACCTTAGATCTCTTTTGTACCTGTCAAATAAATACCAGTCAACTCTGTCTTCAAAAAGTTTCATCAGCAACGGTAAATTTTGCCGTAAATTACAGATTTTAAAACTTTGTTTTATGATGCCTGTTGAAATAGCCGATGAGTAACAATCTTGAAATAATCAAAAAATGTTTAATCTAAATTAATCAAAGTCAACAATAAGTAGAATTGTGAATGTTTCTGAAGGAAACAGACAAATTTTCAATTGTCACATATTTTCGCGATGCTGCTTTTTACAATTAAAAAAATCGTAACCAAAAGGAAACTTTGTTTTGTTAAAATGTGTGTAATAACACTTAAATGTAGTTTAAGAATTAAAATTACTAAAGATATTGTTCACATTAGTTGAGATGGAGGTATTTACCAGTATGTGTTTGTCACATACAATGAATATTTTCTTATGGGAGGGGTGTGTGTGGAGTGAATGACAGAATCTGGAATAAAACAGCATAATGGTCTGATGATGTAGGGTTTTTGAAATTATATTTCAAATCTTTTCAATCTATTTTATGGTACAGTGTATTCCATTTGGGACATACTACCATTTTCCTGAATAATAAGCTTTTTTCTCTGTTCAAACTCTGACTTTCCAAACCCAAGCTTACTCTGCTAATATACTGTATAATACATCATAATCATCAACTGCATAAATGCAGCAAAGATGGCTTAACATATTGAACGTGCTCTGTGCTCCTGCTTTTCTGTGCTTGGGAGTCCAAGGACTCCTCCTTTGAAAATCCTAGTGAGAACCCTGCTTAAGTTATTTCAATTGGTCAGCATCTTCTTATGTTTCTATATTGATGGGTCTCACTAATTTAAAGAAAGACAATCATTTTTACATTCAACCGAGTTATTATAAAATAATGCTTGAAATGTCTGGGCCGGAAAAATATCATCCGGGCCGGAAACTTGAAATGTCTGGGCCGGAAAAATATCATCCGGGCCGGAAATAAACCTAAGGGTCTCGGTCCTTGTGGCCTGAAAAAAAATTTGACTTTCGCATAGACTGATAACCAATGTCACAGTATTTTGGTCGTATAATCAGAACATAACCTATGTCACAGTATTATGGTTGTATTATCAGAAGATTACATTTGTTACAGTATTCTGGTTGTATAATCAGAACATAACCAATATCACAGTATTCTGGTTGTATAATCAGAACATAACCAATATCACTGTATTCTGGTTGTATAATCAGAACATAACTGATGTCACATTACTCTGGTTTTGTATAATCAGAACATGACTGATTTCACAGTATTCTGGTTGTATAATCAGAACATAACCAATGTCACAGTATTATGGTTGTATAATCAGAACATAACCTATGTCACAGTATTATGGTTGTATAATCAGAACATAACTGATGTCACATTACTCTGGTTTTGTATAATCAGAACATAACCAATGTCACAGTATTCTGGTTGTATAATCAGAACATAACCAATGTCACAGTATTATGGTTGTATAATCAGAACATAACCAATGTCACAATATTCTGGTTGTATAATCAGAACATAACCTATGTCACAGTATTCTGGTTGTATAATCAGAACATAACCAATATCACAGTATTCTGGTTGTATAATCAGAACATAACCTATGTCACAGTATTATGGTTGTATTATCAGAAGATTACCTTTGTTACAGTATTCTGGTTGTAGAATCAGAACGTAACCTGTGTCACAGTATTCTGGTTGTACAATCAGAACATAACCTATGCCAAAGTTTTCTGGTTACACTTTCAGAACATAACTGATGCCACAGTATTCTGGTTGTATAATCAGAACTTGACTGATTTCACAGTATTCTGGTTGTATAATCAGAACATGACTGATTTCACAGTATTCTGGTTGTATAATCAGAACATAACCAATGTCACAGTATTCTGGTTGTATAATCAGAACATAACCAATGTCACAGTATTCTGGTTGTATAATCAGAACATAACCTATGTCACATTTTTCTGGTTGTATAATCAGAACATAACCAATGTCACAGTATTCTGGTTGTATAATCAGAACATAACCTATGTCACATTTTTCTGGTTGTATAATCAAAACATATTACTCACCCTGCTCTGACAGTCCATACAGGGGATGAAGAAGTCATAATGTACACCAGAGTATGACTCCCGGATCAAAGTCTCAATCATCTCATGTACAATAAACAGGAAGTTCTCTGGTCTGAACCCTTGAGCTCTCACTATCACTTCCTGTTCACTGAAATTATATCATATTAGACAGTTAGAAAATTGTAGATAAAAATATTCAATACAAATTTTAAAATACTAGTTGGGGACCATCAACCAGACACTTTTGAACATTTTTCATAAAGATTTCTAAACTTCAAAGCTAAAGATCTGAAAATTTGTACTGCTAGGTTCTTCTCCTATCTAACAAACTAGTTTATTTCTGATTATGTAGACAATTATATCTGAGGCCCATTGAGAAGAATGTCAAAATTACCTAAATTGTCCACACTACAATATGATATGTACGGACAGAAATGTACATGACGTTGATTTAATCCAGATAAAAGCTTGTGTATTTAAATTTTTTATTTTTCACACAATAGACAATATATCAGCAGCAAATGCTGAAGTTTTGAATATTCTATTGTTTACTCTACAAATGTAAATAGCTAATACAAGGGGTTAAGTATTGCAATTTTGACGTCCAAATTTTCAACGCAACATTGTTAAAATAGACATTAAAATATCACAATTTACGATTGTAAAATGATAAATTTAATTACCAAATTATAGAAGAACATGCATATATTGATAAAAAGGCAACAGAATTATCAACAACCAAGGAACAAAGAGGAAAACTAAATCAGGAATTTTTGGGGCCGACTGGGTTAAATGGTTGTCCAGTTTTGGTGGTCTCTAACCTGTAGAGAGTAGAGAGGTCCTTACAAGTATTCATAACATATATTTCTTTGTTGCTTAAGTTCTTAATGGTGAAATCTTCCCCACAGATAAGACAGTGAGATACAACAGTGAAATACAACAATGAGATATAGCAGTGAAATACATCAGTGAAATACAAAAAGAGGATGTAGATCAATAAACATACTCATTTTGTATCATCAGAGCAATATGATTGTTCTTCTTCATAAATGATCCGGTCTTCCAGAGTAATGCCCCTTTAGAGTATTGATGAAGTCGAACCTATAATAAAGAAGATGAATAATATATCGTTAAAACAATCAAGCTCAAAGACTGTCAAATGAAAAACATTTTTCAACATGGGTAAAATTTAAACATGTCTTTTTCGAAAAAAAAGGAAAGTTTACAATATCAATGCATTTCTAACACTTAAAATTAAAAGTCATGTGTTTATCTACTCTACCAAATAGTTTAAACTTGTAGGAGACTAATTATCACAGAGATATTAGACTTCACCTATGGATTGAACATTACAAAGCCTATACCCTCCCTATTCAGCTAAGTGGACAGTCTGGTAGATACCAGAACTGTGTTGATGTACATGTTTTACCTGTGCTCGGTTAAAGAGACCAGCTGGTAGATACCAGAACTGTGTTGAGATGTACATGTTTTACCTGTGCTCGATTAAAGAGACCAGCTGGTAGACACCAGAACTGTGTTGATGTACATGTTTTACCTGTGCTCGGTTAAAGAGACCAGAACTGCGTTGATGTACATGTTTTACCTGTGCTCGGTTAAAGAGACCAGCTGGTAGATACCAGAACTGTGTTGATGTACATGTTTTACCTGTGCTCGATTAAAGAGACCAGCTGGTAGGTACTAGAACTGTGTTGATGTACATGTTTACCTGTGCTCGGTTAAAGAGACCAGCTGGTAGAGACCAGAACTGTGTTGATGTACATGTTTTACCTGTGCTCGGTTAAAGAGACCAGCTGGTAGACACCAGAACTGTGTTGATGTACACGTTTACCTGTGCTCGGTTAAAGAGACCAGCTGGTAGATACCAGAACTGTGTTGATGTACATGTTTTACCTGTGCTCCGTTAAAGAGACCAGCTGGTAGACACCAGAACTGTGTTGATGTACATGTTTTACCTGTGCTCGATTAAAGAGACCAGCTGGTAGGTACCAGAACTGTGTTGATGTACATGTTTTACCTGTGCTCCGTTAAAGAGACCAGCTGGTAGACAGAACTGTGTTGATGTACATGTTTACCTGTGCTCCGTTAAAGAGACCAGCTGGTAGATACCAGAACTTGTGTTGATGTACATGTTTTACCTGTGCTCGGTTAAAGAGACAGCTGGTAGATACCAGAACTGTGTTGATGTACATGTTTACCTGTGCCTGATTAAAGAGACCAGCTGGTAGACACCAGAACTGTGTTGATGTACATGTTTTACCTGTGCTCGATAAAAGAGACAGCTGGTAGGTACTGGAACTTGTATACAGTCATTGATTCTCGGATATTCTTCCTAGGATCTGCATGTGGCCAATCATACTGTTATAACAACATACAAAAATATATGTTATCATTATAAATATAATTATAGTAATGTGTTAATCATTTTAATATATAGTAAATTTCAATTATCTGAAACAATGTTACATGCTTTGTGAGAAATAATTAACAATTCTATTGTCAAAAATGAGCTAGCAACGTGTGCAAAGCAAATTTTGCTGGCTTTAACCATAAAAGAAATATTTTTGTTCAAAAACTGAACAAGAACTATCTGTTAGACGACAAACTCAACTATTCTTAGTGCTTGACAGTTAGGAAAAGGGCATAACTCTGTAAAAAGGTCACACAAGAGTAATGGGACCTGTGCACATTAAGACAGATAATACCAGAGAATAAAACAGTGTGTGAAGTTTCAACCAATTCCCTTGAGTAGTCTTTAAACAGACTCAATCAAAGGGAGCCTGCAACATTTTCAATTTTGCTGTTTTGGACTTTCTTTAGGGATTCCTAATTTCTTTATCTTATTGCAAACATTAAACTTACCCAAAGTGTGATGACGACACTAAACACCAACTACAGGGTGAGTTCAATGGCTCTCAAAATCTTTAAATAGGCGAGCTAAAGACTAGGAATATAGAAGGTACAGAATCTACGGATTCTTTGAGAACATGACAGTATTGTTTAACATGATTCTCTCCATACAAAATGCTTTATAACTTATATCATGAAGAAATGAGCCAATACATGACAAAACCAACATAGTGCGTTTGAGACCAGCATGGATCGAGACCAGCCTGCGCATCTGCACAGTCTGATCAGGATCCATGCTGTTTGCTCACCAACACTAGACAGGTAGAGAAACTGATAGTGAACAGCATGGATCGTAATCAGACTGCGAGGATGCGCAGGCCGATCTTGATCCCTGCCAGTGGCAAACGCACTATGTGGACTTTGTCATGACACGGGTCAAATATACAATAAACATTCTATATAATAGTTTATAAAATATAGCAGGTGCATTTACCTGTGGTTCACCATCAGGAAGCAGACATGGTACAATACTGGCTTCTTCATCAGGTAGTGAACATGTCAGGTCAAACTCTTCTGTTAACCGTAGTAACCAAGGGTGTAGCTCACTAGGATAATCCTCCCATACTTTACTTATGTCCTTCAACAACATTTTACCATCCTAAAAAACAAAACAAAATTATATTATATTATATCTTATATTGTATTTTCATGTCCTTATTTGTCAGAAATAAAAAGAATTAATAAATAAAAAAAGAACCATTTTTTATCTCCTATATCATATAAATACACTGCAATCCAAATACTGTTATAATGCTAAACTCATTATAATGCACACAGATCTTGGTCAAAGCCCTAAAATTGTATTTTATTGCTTATCATAAAAAATTACATGAATATTGATAACGTGCTTTATCTGCTAAAACACCTAATCAATGTGTTAAACAAGTACAATAAACAATGTAACTAGGACACTAGTGGGTGCAAAAGATGTGCTCATACAGCTTAGCATTAATCCAAGCTTTTGTTTGTTTGACTTATTAATCAGTCAAGTATCATACTATTCTAATATCCCCCAATTCAATGCTGTGACATTCAAACATAGACAAATAAAGACCTGAATATCTAGCATGGGTGTAACAGTTTATGGCAATACATAGACTTTCTCTGGGTGTAACAGTTTATGCCAATATTGAGACTATGTGAGGTGTAACAGTTTATGCCAATATAGAGACTATGTGCAGTGTAACAGATTATGGCAATATAGATACTATGTTAGGGTGAAACAGATTATGGCAATATAGATACTATGTAAGGGTGAAACAGTTTATGGCAATATAGGTACTATGTAAGGGTGAAACAGTTTATGGCAATATAGATACTATGTAAGGGTGAAACAGTTTATGGCAATATAGATACTATGTTAGGGTGAAACAGATTATGGCAATATAGATACTATGTAAGGGTGAAACAGTTTATGGCAATATAGGTACTATGTAAGGGTGAAACAGTTTATGGCAATATAGATACTATGTAAGGGTGAAACAGTTTATGGCAATATAGATACTATGTAAGGGTGAAACAGTTTATGGCAATATAGATACTATGTAAGGGTGAAACAGTTTATGGCAATATAGGTACTATGTAAGGGTGAAACAGTTTATGGCAATATAGATACTATGTAAGGGTGAAACAGTTTATGGCAATATAGATACTATGTAAGGGTGAAACAGTTTATGGCAATATAGAGACTATGTGGGGTGTAACAGTTTATGGCAATATAGATACTATGTAAGGGTGAAACAGTTTATGGCAATATAGAGACTATGTGGGGTGTAACAGTTTATGGCAATATAGATACTATGTAGGATTTAGCTCAATACAGGATTGGAGCAGTACCTCTAGACGCTTGCAGAAATCATGATCACAAAATAGACAAATATCGTTTTTTTCGCTGATTTTTACATTTTTCCTTGATTATCGTACTTTATTCGGTGTGAAAAGATGAATTAGACCTGTTAAAGTTCATTCCGTTGGGTAAAAAGACAAGATTTTAGCATTTTATCATTCAAGCGCCTTGTCCGGTATATACCGGAAAACGGTATTTAGTGTGGTGCTCCAATCCTTTTTTTAGTCACAGCCTACTATGTAAGGGTGAAACAGTTTATGGCAATATAGAGACTATGTGGGGTGTAACAGTTTATGGCAATATAGATACTATGTAAGGGTGAAACAGTTTATGGCAATATAGAGACTATGTGGGGTGTAACAGATTATGGCAATATAGATACTATGTAAGGGTGAAACAGTTTATGGCAATATAGAGACTATGTGGGGTGTAACAGTTTATGGCAATATAGAGACTATGTGCGGTGTAACAGTTTATGGCAGTATAGAGAATATGTCAGGGTGTATCAGTATGGAAATATAGAGACTATGTAAGGGTGTAACAGTTTATGGCAATAAAGAGTCTTTGTCAGAGTGTATCAGTTTATGGCAATATAGGGAATATGTTAAGTTTCTGCTAAGCAAATACTAATAAATAGAGTGCCAGATATTCCCAATTTTCTCACCTGTGATGTTAGCTAGTGTTTGATTATTTTTTCTTGCAAACATATTAATCAATTTTCAATAAGATATTACAGACACTAATATATTTATTTTTCATTTTTGTCTTTTAGTTTGCTATTAATTTATAACTTTACTTATTATGGCAGAATGACATGCTCACTACCACAAGAAAACCCAAGGTGGTATATACAAGAAAAGGTAATAATAATATACCTTGACTGCACCTTGATGTACTGTAACTAAACATGCCATTACATCCACTATCCACTGTGGATAAATCACAATCATGTCTCGTAGAAAATCTGTATCAAAAAACTGTACAGCACCTAAATCATGCAGGAATTGTACCGCTTGAATCAACTGTAATAAATATCATAAACAAATATATTATAGTTTGTATTATTACAATATATATCACAATGAAAGTTCATTTTATATTTTTTTCTCTACTAAGTAAAATTAATGGCTTATATTGAGATTGTACGAATTTTATGGTTAAACATGATTATATTTAGGTTTGCCTCTCTATGTCATGCCGCCAATACAAAGGACCACAATGGAAATAAGAGCTTTTTTGCCCTTTTTTGTGTTATCCTTGGTTTTGGTGAGCATGTCATAATTTTACTCGTATGTGATATAGTATTTAATAATGCTCATTATTTTATCCTATGTTATATTGTCAACTATGTATATGCTTCCTTTGCCGAAATAAATCTATCTATCTATCTAAAGTATATTGTATCTGAAGCAGTCAAAATTTATACTGGATATACATTCTTAGTTCCATTATTCCTGTAAATGCATATATAGAAGTAAGGACAAAATATTCTGGAATAAAATAAAAACAACATATAAATGACTTTAAAATTGAACATTGTGTAGAATAGGAAGCCAGGATTATTCTGTGATGTTGCAATAGCAAGTTACATATCCTGTGTCTAACCAGTGAAATATGATATTGGTAACTATAAATCTTCTACCAGTTGCTTAGCAAGTAAAGTTGGTACTGATCATTTATCTTAGTAATACACAAAATATTTAAAATCATAAGGAGAGATCAGTCAACAGTTGTTTATATAAGTCTATTAAGATTTCTTTCAGAATTAACCATATAAAGATAAGACTGAAGTATTATAAATTACCTCCCCTCTGTCAAATATACCACATGTAGCACTGATAGTTTCTAGTTGTTTGAATGGTAGAATGTCTACTCTTTTCTCCTCATGATAAGCAATCAGACGTTTTTCTAGTGTAAGCCAAGCTTCAGGAATTTTTTCACCCATATATTTCTGCTGTAAAGTATTGCTTATGATGGTTTGTCTGAGATCATCCACCCCCTGAAATACACAATACTTAATGAACCTTACAACAATCCACCCCCCTGAAATAAACAATACTTAATGAACCTTACAACAATCCACCCCCTGAAATAAACAATACTTAATGAACCTTACAACAATCCACCCCCTGAAATAAACAATACTTAATGAACCTTACAACAATCCACCGCCTGAAATAAACAATACTTAATGAACCTAACAACAATCCACCCTCTGTAATAAACAATACTTAATGAACCTTACAACAATCCACCCCCTGAAATAAACAATACTTAATGAACCTTACAACAATCCACCCCCTGAAATAAACAATACTTAATGAACCTTACAACAATCCACCCCCTGAAAAAAAACAATACTTAATGAACCTTACAACAATCCATCCCCTGAAATAAACAATACTTAATGAACCTTACAACAATCCACCCCCTGAAATAAACAATACTTAATGAACCTAACAACAATCCACCCCCTGAAATAAACAATACTTAATGAACCTTACTACAATCCACCCCTTGAAATAAACAATACTTAATGAACCTTACAACAATCCACCCCCTGAAATAAACAATACTTAATGAACCTTACAACAATCCACCCCCTGAAATCAACAATACTTAATGAACCTTACTACAATCCACCCCTTGAAGTAAACAATACTTAATGAACCTTACAACAATCCACCCCTGAAATAAACAATACTTAATGAACCTTACAACAATCCACCCCCTGAAATAAACAATACTTAATTAACCTAACAACAATCCACCCCCTGAAATAAACAATACTTAATGAACCTTACAACAATCCACCCCCTGAAATAAACAATACTTAATGAACCTTACAACAATCCACCCCCTGAAATAAACAATGCTAAATGAAACTTACAACAAAGATACCTCATAGTTGTTCAAACAAATGTTACATCACAATCAAGCTCAAATTTTAACTAAGTTATAAAAACTGTGTGATAAATCATTGAGTTTAAACTATGAGAAAACTAATAGCAGAGTGCATTGATAAAGATCTATTATGTAGGTGACAGGGAAAAAAAACCTATATGAAATGCATTTTTAAATGTTTGTTTGTTTGATTTTACGCCTTTTCCTAACAGTATTTTAACAGTATTTTAGTCATATAAGCAGGTAGTGTCCTAACCATCGTTCCTGGAGAGTAACACCAGTACTAGACTACCTTCCTCCACACTAAACTACCAAAGCATCTCTTGGGGATCGAACCCACATTAGAGTGGTAACTGGATTAGAAGTCATCGACTCTAACCTCTCGACCACGGAGGCGTTAAAAAAATATAAACTGATACTGCTTAACAATATTTGTTCATTATCATCATTATATCTTCAATAATAAGCTACAACTATTTATGAATGACTTACAATTCCTGTGTATGAGCTGACATAATGAAATCCAACAATTTGAGGGTTACCTGGCTTTAAGGTTCACTTCTGGCAGACGAAACTTCTCCACCCTAAAATATAATCATGTATTTCCATATTTCCTCTAAGCATTTTATGTCAAAAA